ATTATAGTTAGTGGATTTTATTGCACTGTAGAATGCGAAAATATCCATGTAGGGTGGAACCGAACCCGCAACTTCCGATGCTAGACAGCACTTTGATATAAGCCATTCTTCGCCCTTGCCCTGCAACCCTTATACCAACACATTTTATATTAACGAAACTGAAACAACAACTTACTTACAAAATTATGTCAGTTGAGTTTTACTGGCAGAAATCACGAAAGTCTTTTTCCTCGATGCTACAACTATTTTGCTCTCAATAGATATTAAAATATTTTAAACTCTCTCCAATAAGATAAATTAAATCTCATAGCACGATCTACAGAACGTAGTTTCGGAAAAACGTAGATAGAGCTGTCGGCGAGCAGGGATGTCCAGCGCCATCAACCTCTCGGGCCAAGGCATTTTCGACGCGAAATTTTATGATTCCAAGAGTGTACATTGTACAGACATACACAAAACAGACTATGTAGGAAAACTTTAAATCATCTTATGTTCAACTTTTCGAAAATTAGTATTTTTGCGAAATTTTGGGGTCAAATATAGACATTTATTTCTTTAAAGCCTTTTTCTTAAAAACGGCAAAAATTATTAAATTTGGAATCTAGATAGCATTAAGTACGCTTAAGAGAATGATGCAGATCTCATGTTCGTTAAAATGCTGGAATTTTTGAAAATTTAAAAAAAAATATTTTTTCGACATCTTTCTATAACTACAATTGTGAAGATGCATTTTTTTCATAATGAAATGAGTTAATCAAAAACAAAAATTCTAAACCATTAGGTCTCCGTTCGGGCGCCAAAAATTGTTGTTGTTTTTTTACTTTTCCCTTAATAAATTTACTTTACGGGGAGAAATAAAAATATCCATTCAATATTTGTAATTGTCGAACATTCTATGATTTTATGACACCATTGATTTGAAAAAGGTAACTTACTGAAATAATAAATCAAACACTTTCAAATTCAAAAGAAAAGAGAACGTTTATTCATAATAATTACAAAAAAAATTTGCACAATATTGTTTTTAAAGTGAAATAACAAATATTTAGTTAATTTAACAATTTTCAGTAATGATACCTAGGTTTATCTTCGTCATGTTTCAAATAGCAAAAATCCTTCCTTTAGATCCAATTCCAAAAGTACACTTCACTGTATCGGCTCTCCCAAATATTCTTTCATCCAAACTTCAATCTCCACTGATGACTGACTGAAGTGCCTCTCTGACTGAAGTGCTATATAAATCATTTTCGTCCTCACTCCAGGACGAACACATTCTCCCTGGTTGTTGATTCTGTTCGTTTTCTCAAGTCAATAATCTCCAAGAGATCAAAAAATTGCCAATATGTGATTTTATTCCAGTAGGTCGTGTTTGTACATATTGTCATGAATACGGACGAAAAATTACAATTAATTTCCACCTGCTTACAATACTATTTTAGATAAGTCGTCTTAACGGTTAGGTGTTTTTGAGAAAATGCTTTTTAACTTGTCTGGATTACATGCACAATTACCCCAAAACACACATTTCTAACAATTGTACATGAGTTAAAGATATGTTTTGATAAACAAATTTCAGTATGGAAATAATGTATATATTTGTTATTGTAATTGTGGAACGACGCTGAAAAGACTTGAACTTTTGAAGTTTTCGAGAAATCAGAGATTTTAATGAAAATGTGACCCAAGCCATTTACTTCAAGCTATCCAAGGACAAAGTTTAATAAACAAATGTGCAATTTTTGAGAAAATATTGAAAATGTTGCCGAGGCTTCATGTTAAGTACCCCCAAAATCAAAATATCAGTTTCAAACTCTAAGATCCTTGTGTTCCTTCAGATCGATTGAGGAACATCAATTTTGGAGAAAATCGGCGAAACGGTTTAAAGCGCTAGCGGTGACCACAGACGGACAGACACACGTTCGTCGTCAATCAATTTTCAAAGGTCAAGAACACACAAAGCATGAATTCAGAGAATACATTTACAAATAGTAATTTACTTCACATTTAGCAAGATTTATCCACTTCTTCATTTTCAGGGCCTGGCAATAAAAGTTTTTCTGTCGAAAAACCCCTTTCTTATTGCATCATTACAATGCTTTCTCTATACTGCGTAGGCAGTACGCGAGAAAGTAAAACAGTGCATATTCTGCGAAAACTCACCTGAAGGAACCACCACCCTTTAAGAATCGGGTAATGACCAGAAGTACTCGTAGACCCCAACGCACGACTTTATACAGTAAACAACAATTTTCAACGAAGCCCCCGCCGGACCAAGTGAGGGGAAACTTCGTGAAAGTCAATGTTACGAATTTGTTTATCCCAATTAATGCGAAATAGACAAAACTAACGCATAACCAAATAACGCTTTACGAGAGTAAAAGTTAGGCAACTTGAAACTTGAGCTTGGAATATTTCAGCAAAGGTTTGCGGAGTTCGTTGTCCAACAAGTAAGTAACAATTTTAAGTATTACGCAGATAATGTTTTATCCTGAGCTATATACTAAGCTCACCTTATGTGGCTGGTAAATAGTTTACCTGTGTTTTACCCTAATTCGGGGGTTATGCAAACATGTTCTTTCAGAACTGGATTTGCAATTTCTGTGTGTAAGGAGTAAAGATAAAAATGCTTGAAGAATTGGTGTAGTCATTTTTTTTACTCGGTGAGAATGACCTGACAATGGTGAGTGACATATCATTTGTCTGTGTACAATTGAGTTTTATTTCGATTGAATATAGCTTTTGATGCAAGAAGTTGTTTACGCTTCGCAGAAAGTAGACATTTTTTATTTTTTATTGATAGTCATTGATATATGGATTATTTATTTTCAGAATTTTGTTGGTATGGCGTTCTTGTGGATCGTCTTTCAAAATTTCTAACACGAAAATGATACAAACAGAGAAGTCCTGACAACACAGTATTTCTTCTCTCTTCATACTGCTTCCACTCTTCTCGCTCCTTTTGAGGAGCCACAGTGTGCATTTCCTTCTAGTGCTTACAAGTGACGTCTTAAACTCGAGTTCTACCACTATGGAAATATTCAGCAGAGGAAATTGTATAATTGATACCACAAATTTCTAGAGCTTGAATTGATATGCTTTCAACACAGTGTTTTCTGTGTATTCAGTGCATAATGGCAGACTTTTGGAAGAATATTTATTCCTTGACCTAACATTGCGTCGTTATATTTTTGTGAGTAATTTTAATTACAATGGTTGCAATTAATGAAATAGTTAGGGCGAATTTTACGCTTTGTGAAATCCTAGGATCAAGAACAAATGAAGATCTCTTAGAAATTTATAAACATTTATTCGTTTTTTATTGCTACATTCAATTACACAGTAAAGTAAAAGCGTAATATTAGTGACCCAGGTTTTTTTGTTTATTTTTCATGATTAAAATATAATTAGAAAAAAAATAACCACGCGAAATTTGGTTAGATGAACATATTTTTCGTAGTATGAAAAAAATTATTTGAATATATTTTTATGTTGTTGGTATTATTATTATTATTATTATTATTATTATTATTATTATTATTATTATTGTTGTTGTTGCTGTTGCTGTTGTTATTTGCTACATAAACAGAAGCAGATACCTACCAAATCATGACAACCAAATTAATAATTATAAATTGAAATTATCATTATTGTTCTTGAAAACGAATTGTCACGAAGTGCAAATTTCATTTTCTAATCCCATCTAATTTCATGTCAATTTTACCTTTATATTTTCATTGCTTTTATGTGGGTATGATACTATGATTTTGTAAAAAAAATAATTTATCTAGAAGAAATCGAAGATCACTTTAACAATTTAAGATCACAGCTAATTTATTCAGCTGAAAATTCTGCCGAACAAATAGTATGTAAGTTAATTGCAATAAGTCAATTGCAAATGGTACATGGGTCTCCAATATTCAAGTAAACAATTAGTCTTGACTTCAGGGTTTTCTGCTATGCCCTCAAAAAAGGAAAAAAAAAATATTTTGACGCAATTATTTTTCTTTGAAGTTGTCGATACAGATCTGAAATTTGATTTTCTTGCTGTGCTCTGCATTCTTTTAGCGAATCTCAACACTTGAATTTAATGTGCATATCTTCCTCGAGAGAGCAGAATCCAACGTAAGCGAGGATGAATCGTTCACTTCGTTCACAGTTCTTACGACCGGAGATTGCATGATGAACCGTTCTATAACTCGTTGCATATGTTCGTATAGAACGATTGTATCACATGTGCGTGTTGGGTTGGGTTGTAGTTGATGTTAGAAATGTATGGAACGAAATGAGCTATAACTTTTTATGATAGTCGTTATATTGTGTGGTTGATTTTATTGATTTACAATCTTTGAAGTACTTTTTCTTCATAAACATTGATTTCGTTGAATTCTTAGTCTGATCTTGAGCAGTGTTCCAATACGGTTGAACCGGCTTGGCTGGAGACTATTCCTGAAAATGCAGTCCAAAGAAGAATTTTATATCTACTATGGAGTGATATCATTTTTAACCATAGAATACCTATGGGAATTGTACCTGGCAATTAGACAGGTAAGAGAAGAGTTGTTAAAGATGTTCAAATTTTGAATTTTTGTCTTAATTTACGAATTGGTAATTTGACTATTTTTTGAATGTCTAGCATCGAGTTTATGAAGAAGCTACAGAACTTCCTACTGATCTTGAGGACATAATGACTCCTGAAACATATAAGAAAGCACGAGTGTACAATCGAGACCAGAGCTCATTTCGCATTATGAAAGATTTATTTGCATTCATTGTTACTTGTGTAAGTGAATGTATCCTTAAACTTGAGAATATTGACTGATGTTTTTGCTGTGATAATGGTTTAAAACGTGTTTTTCAGCTTGTCATATATGTTGATGGATTTGTAATCTTCTGGAAGGCTGGTGGTCAATTGGCAGCATCATTGGGAAGTACAGGTCACAGTGAAACATTGCAGACTATTGGTTTTGCATTGCTAATGAACTTGTTCAACACACTCATCAATATGCCTTTCTCAGTCTACCACACTTTTGTGGTAGAAGAAAGACATGGTTTTAATAAACAGGTAAGATGTTTCAGGTGATTATTTTTTAGCTGAGCATTTATGAGTGTCTAAGTATACAATTCAGTAACATGAATGTTGATGCAAAGAAAACTATTGATTCCCACTGGTTATGAAGATTGTACCCGACTATACACCGTTTCCTAAGTCTCAAAAGAATAGTAGACATTAAGTAGACATAATTTTTAAATTGTTCAATATCAAATTTTAATATATAAATGTAAACAGTGTTTAGTCTGATACTAGAGCTCTGCATTTCTAAGGATAGAGAAAACAGTTTCAAACACAGTAAAAAATTAATTAATTTATTTATTTGTAAAAAACTAACTAGGTAATGTAGAAACCAGGAAAAACTTAATGGCTGAAATGTAGTATAAGGTACAACCTAGGGAAGTCATTTAAAACAGCACTTCACACCGTTCTGGCGTTAAACTAGGCAGTTAGAATTCTGGGGGCTTTCTTGAAAAGTGATGTCTTGTAAAAGTGAATTGGTAATTATGTGTTGGTTAGACTCGAGAATGTTTATAGTGAACGCGAGGGCCGAAGGCTCGAGCCTCGCCGCGACTTGGATCCGGGCGAGCGAAGCGAGAAAACTTACCTTTGAAAGTAAATTGGCGTTACAATGCAGCGGGGACAAAGCATATGAAGGGCAAACCATGAAAATCGCCTATCCGTAAGTTTTATTCATTTCTTTTAGAGCACGTACAGTAATTAGTGCTTAAGCCCAGCCACCATGTTTCTCTAAGGATGTACCGTATACTAAATTTTAACCAACATAATTTAAGTGTTGGTGAGAAGCACGCATTTTCAAAATGTTGAGTCACTCTTCAGAAATGTTTAGGGAAGTATTCAGAATTCTTGATCATTAATTGATACTGGGGTACTAAGCTAAATGAAGTGTCAAATTTTATTTTTTGAAACATGCATATCAATTCATCTTAATTAAAGTATCTGCTTTGCTGCCTGTTCGTTGAGATCTTGTAAGTTCTCATTTCTGTTTAAGAAACCGGTAAGTCACGAATAGGGACCTTACATTTAGGGTTTTATAAATGATATTTGAGGCTTTTTGAAAAGTCAGTTTAGATATATAAGTGGAAAATTATTTTGAGATTTTAACGGACATGTTTTGGGGTCTTCTAATACCAAGAAAGGGGTTCTTTTCAAAATGTCTGTGAACATCAGTAGTGCCTAAACCATGGGTAGGATTTTTTCGGAATTGAAGAAATCTCTGCTTATCTGGCTGAATCGAATCTTTGTGGTTTTGAAAAACCTCTTAAAATTTGGGGCTACTTTACATGAAGCCCTCCATACATTTTCAAAATTTTCTCAAACGGCTCAAACAAGCTTTTTGTTTTTATTATTATTATTATCATTATTATTATTATCATTATTATTATTATTATTATTATTATTATTATAATTTCCTGTAAGAATAGAGTAAATTACACTTATAAAGGTGGCATACTCCTATTTTCAGGTTTAACTCTATTTTCGAAAATTTCAAAATTTTTCAGTCTTTCTATAACTTCTAAATTGAATATAGAGATTTTTTCTTAAATATGTTTTTTCAATTTTTTAATTTTTTTAGCAATATTGCAATTGATGCTATCGTTAAAACTAAAAAAAAACAAGATTTTTCTTAAAAACGGCTCCAAATTTTTGTTAAAAATTTTGGTAGGGATAGTACAAAATGCACTCTATAAGATTACATAAAATCTATGTTGCTCTAAAGTTAGAAATGAAAATCTTACAAACTCTAATCCTTCAACAAAAATGTAATGTTTTTGACTTGTATCTCATGTTAATATTTACTTTAGCAGCAGTTTCTGTACATTAATGTATTTATGAGTACATGTGATTATAAGAATGTTAGATAAAGTTTCCCCAAAACTCAACAGTTTTCTGTGAAAAGGATCTCAAAATTCTGCATTTTAGAAGTACTTAAACTCCTTTTTCTCAAATGCAGCTCCAAATTTATTCTTCAAACTTTTCCAATGTATAGTGCTATTTGCACTGTTTAAGATGACGTAGAATTAATTTTGCGGTATTCATTTGCTTTATCAAAAATTACACAAATGTAATTTTTTTTGAAAGATCTCTCACGCCATTAATATTCTCATTTCCAGCTATTTGTAGACACTATTACAGTTGTGACTGAAAGTATTTGAAATCAAGTCAAATGAAGTTTTTCAAAACTCAGTAGTTTTCTTGAAAAAAGGTTCAAATTTTAAATTTACAGTAGCGCTTAAATGCCATTTTCTTAAAAACGGCTTCAAATTTTTCAAAGAAAATTCCCATTTAGGTCCACGTTTTACTGTTCTTTAATATTCTTAAAATAATATTTCTGTTCTACTACTAGGAAGTCGAAAAGTTAAGACAATTTCAAAAAAGTATATTTAAGCAGTGGCAGATGGCAGCTGGCAAGAGTATGTGGCACATCAGAATAGAAGCCAAGGGAAATAGAAAACTAAGAAAGTCTGTGCCATTCTGTAGCACCACTAGTTTAAACTCGTATTATCAAACTGAACCATTATTGTAATAAATAACTATTTTAATTTGCTTACTCATTTGATTCCTTGTTTTTACTTCCTAACTTGAACAAAGTTCTTTTAAAAAAACGCATACAATTTACAACAAATTTTCTCAACTTTTTAAATATTCCCTTAAAAATTATCATCCAAATCATCAATTAACAATAATGTATAATCTTGAAATATCTTATGTGAAGAACTACCTATTGTCCCTAAGCACATTTGGAACATGAAAAAGTTGGCTTTAATCAATGGCACATACTCTTACTCTTTCAGGTAATTTCCTTGGGTTTTCTTTGAGAACAACTCTGTTTGTGTCTTCCATCTTAGCGTAACCCCTACTACTGAATTTTCTAGAGTTTTGGTATGAATACTTCACCTATAATCCTTGGTACTTCCTTCTGTGAAGAAGCTTAAATATTGCTTGTTTTAGTAGAAAAGATGCACCTTTAATTTTTGTAAGAAAATTAGTATCAATCCAATTAGTAGCAATAAAGTCAGCAATGTTAGATGCTTAGTTTATGCCACCATAAAATTCTTATCAACCCATAAAAAATGAGTTTTCTGAACCCAGCTTCAGATATCTTTTTTTTATAAATTCCAATTTAGCGTGTTTTAGAATGACAATTCATTTTAGCCATTTTTAGGATCCATAAGATTCATACTGTAATTAGGTTGCTAATGACCTTGCCATCAATGCAAACAAGAAATAAAATAAAGTTAAAAAAAAATGATTCATGTGCTTGACTCAGAAATGATTGAAACAGGTATGTGTATTAAATGTCATTAAGAACTGAGGGGAGGAAAAGGTTAAAATCTAAAAATCCAGGCCATAGAAATGAGTTATTTGCTAAAAGCTGTTACTATTTAATTTTCTTTGTTAAACTGTCTTCAATACAAATTTGTATTATATTAGCTTCAGTATGATCAAATTCATGTGAACAACACGAGATAAAAAAAATTAAGTTGAATAATATCTCGATTAAGAAAGATTTAACAACTTTTGTTATATTACAAATTTTTGAGACTGTGTTAAGTTTTTGCAATGAATTGGGTTGTTTTATTTTATGTTCTTAATATAATTATTGCATCTGGGGGGGGGATGGTTTTTAATTCAAAGAATGGAAGAGATGAATTATAGTTCTTACCTTGGTTTGAAGAAGCGGAAAGTAATTTTATCCTTTTGATTCACGTTATCAAAAATGCTAACTTGATCCGTATTTTGTACTTTGTAAAATAATAAAGAAAAAGGTACTTGATAGTCAAATAATTATTTTCTTCTATAGTAGAATGATTTTGTAGGAAGGTTTGGTAAAAAATGTATACTTACAAGAATTATAGTTTACACACATTGAACACCAAATGATTTTGTCTAGAATTGTTTTTGAAGGATTGAATAATTACCAAGTGTGTTACTTAATTATGATATTTCTTAAGAATTTCTAAATTCAGAGAGATTATTCTTGAGTAAAACAACATAAATAAACAGGTGATTGACTGATGTCATTGTTAAATGTTTACTTATTTGTTTGTTGCCTCCATTTCACTAAATATTTTCATTTTTGAATTTGATTGTTTTATGGCATTTGAATACTTTGGAATAAGGTTTCCCTAAAGAGATAAACAATTTCTCTCCGATTTTCTGCAGAATACAAATACAAAGATAATTTTTCTGTTTTGCAAAATGGAGGAAATTTTTTTTCGGGATTTTTTGCTCTAGAGTGACCACACTTTCTTCTGTGTCAAAAATTTGCATGTTTTTAGCAGGGTTTCCATGATTTATATCAAATAATTCACCCAAAACATCGACTTAAATTATAAATATAAGTTATTGTAAATTTTACAAAGATTGATTAATTTTAGACCGATAAAGAAAAGAATTACAAATTATAATGTTTGATGCATTCAGGGTGTTCAGTACAATGACACGTTCTAGCATAAACAAATCAAGCGACATTTAAACCCAATCTCCATTGCTGTTGTTTGGTAGTGACCTAAATAAAATTGATCATATTGCTAGTAAATAACATCTTGATATTTTTAGTTGATTGATTAGAATCAAATGAAGTTGCTGGCTTTAAGAGACTGCAATTCTGTAATTTATAATTTTAAGCATTTAAAATACCCTTAAGTTAAAATTTTTATAATTAATTTAACTGATTAAATAGTTATTTGGCAGTGACCTAAATGGAATTGCTCATATTGCTAGTACATCTTTATTTTTTAGTTGTTTGATTAAATCAAATGAAGTTGCTCACTTGAGAGACAGCAATTCTGTAATACATGTCTTTAAACATATAAAATATGCTTTACTTAAAATGTATGTAATTAATTTAACTGATAATAATAATAATAATAATATAAATTTTGTAAATATATTATTTTGCATTAAATAGTACTTTGAGACAGTAAATTTTATTTAATATAATTCATTACATAAGATACTTAACGATTAAAAAGAGATATTAAAAGTGAAACGTACCCGTAAGTTAATTGTTATTAACATTTAAATTATTCTCATTGTTATTACTAGATAAATTAAGTTTAAGGGAACTATCGTTTGAATGATTTTTCATTTCAGAGACGATTCCTTACATTCCTTTGCTGCAATATTTACATTTAGCTTGTGACTGTTTTTCATCTTTAATTTCTCCCGTAATTATCTCAAATTGAATATTTTTTCCATCCAGCCATGGCATACTTAAGATTTTTTAATTTTCAAAATTTATTATTCACATCTATTCACAAACTTTGTTCTTCAACATATTTAAACAAGTTACTATGAAGTTGTACAAGATAACTTTTAAAAATGTAACTATTAATGTGTTCAAAATTAACTATGAAAAAGGATATTCTTATATTAAACACATTAGCAGTATTTCTAATATCAAGAATTTTTTTTATCTGTCTCAATAATTTATTCATGAAATTGAAAGATATAGCAATAAAAAGACAAATTTTCCGTGAGAAGTGAGACTGTACAACAAATTCATAATCGTAGCTTTGTATAAAATTAACCTACGAGTACATTTAGAAAACTAGAGTACGCTCTCTGTGAAAAAGAAATCGTAGATAGAAAAACAGAATATTAATACTTATTTTATGTTTGATAATTTTAATATGGTTGTTTTTTATATCAATTTCATATTGGTTGGTATAATTTTGGTTTTTTTCTCAAGTATCAAACTCTAATCCTCCAACAAACATGTAAACATTTTACCCAATTTGAATATATAAATTTAGATCGAATTTAAAAAAAAAATCGTTGTAAAAAATTTAATAAAATAATGATTTTTAGTAATCATTGTTTTTAGACACAAAGGGGAACATGTAAAAATAAAATATTATCTCATTTTAGTCCATAAGTATATCTTAAAATACAAATCAAAAACGTCCTGATAAGAATTTGTTATTTAAATGCTAAGGAAATGTTTGAAATTTTCATCCTATGAATACAGTCGACTGCTGTTATAGTGAACTTTGGGAACTAACATGTTTGGTTCACTATATCTGATGTCAAAATTAAATGGAATTTCTCCATAATAATTTATTTTATTAATATACAGCAGAATCCATAAACACAGCACAAACTGAAAATTTCATTATTTTTTTTAAAATTTAATTTAATTTCCAGGACTTCATACATTCACTATAGCTGAGGTCAAGGTTAACTATAACTCGATGTTCTTATGCTTATTTGTAATGTAAGTGAAACAGGATCAATAACTTAAGTTTACTATATTTGAGTACACTCTCACTAGTGTTGACTGTGTGTTGGCCACTTTAATATAAGGAATGGCGCTTGGTAGCGTGACCATCTGCTAAAAGTGGAAAAGTCAACAAAGAAGACAAGGGTTTTCAATAAGGAAGTAATTTTTATAAAATTTCTTTACAGATTGACAGTAATTTTGATTAAAATTAATCATTTTGAGTTAAATTAGATTTAGTTAAATTCCTTATTGAGTAATATTAATTATTTTTTTCTAATATTTCCACAATTTCAGTGGTGTGTTATGACTTTCTCAAAACTATAGAACATAAAGGGACCTTGATCAGCCAAAAAAGGTTTGCTTTTATAGGTGGGAAGGGCAAAGAGGAAAGGAGGGGGGGGGGTAGATGAGTTCACACCACAATTATAAAATCATTGTTTTATATAAGATTCCAGTGTTTCATTCCTGACCATAGCAGAAAATTCTTTCAACAGCCAAAACATCGCTTATAACGATTATTGTATTATTAACTTGAAAGTGTAAATTAATGTTAAAATTAATAAAAAAGTGGGGCAGATGGATTGCTTACTTACTGGAGGGGGTTAGTAAGTTGCAAAGGAGTGGTAGACAGAGTTTTTTGAATGTCCCATTATACACTTAATCTTTTATATTGTTTTGTTCTGACACATGACTACACACATTGAATATTGGTATTGTGGTGAGTTTTCATTGGCATTTACAATGGAATAATTATACAAGTCGTATAATCATGTAGGATCAATAATTAAATGAATTAGTCACTTCACCATCCCAGGAAAAAAAGGTGTAATTGGGTCTGCGCCTGCAATACCAAGAAGCTGGAAGTATGCGGAATGCACTCAAGAAGGTTCATTCAATTCTCAGATACTTGTAGACTTTTCTGAGATCCTAAACTGAAGAAATGGTCAACAAGCAACAAGTGGAAATTAACAGTTTTCCAGGAAAAGGGATCAATGGCTAGATGTGAAAGAAAGCGAAGTGAAGCTTTCTGATGAATCAGAAACAACAGAGCTCTTTAAAAGTCTGTACAGTGGGATAAATTGTAGATTTCTACATCTTTCATAAATTTCTAAAATGTATATGAACATTTGGACAAAATCTGTGTTAGCATCTAAAAAGAAAGAAAAAGCAGGGGGGAAGGAGGTGAATATGATTTGTTTTGTATTTGAGCTATATCTAAAAATTTGGAAGAATTCCTGGAAATACAAATATTTTCACTTTCAAATTTCATTTCAAATGAAATTCTTGCTTTGTATAAAAAGTGAATTAGTCTAAACATCTCTTTAGCAAGAGCCCTGCATGTCCAAGTCTAGTCTTGGTCGTACCAAAAAAGAGAATGTAGCAGTGGAGTTGCCTTCTATTTCTGATGACATTTGTTCGGTGGATGAAGTTGAAGATGTATTTTGTTGAAAAATGAAAAGGTCTTAATCATCTTGAGTTTCATAGACAGTTGCAAAATGTGTACCGATAAATGTCAGTTTTTTTATTTGTCAAAAAATACATGTCAAATCCTTAACTGCAAATAAATCATGAAAGTCAGCCATTTAAAAAAATATTGTTGACAGATAAATTCATTAAAATGTTTCTTATTAATATAAAGTTTAATTCTTTCTTTCCAGACTGCTGGTTTCTTCATCAAAGACAAGATCAAAGAATTTTTAGTAGGACAAGCCATAATGCTTCCTCTCTTTGCTGCAATCATTTGGATAGTGCGTATTGGTGGAACATACTTCTTCATTTACTTATGGGTTTTTGCCATGATGTTTAGCCTTTTCCTGCTAACAATTTACCCCAATTACATCATGCCACTGTTTGATCGGTATACTCCTTTGTCTCCTGGTTCTCTGCGTACTCGCATTGAGGAATTGGCTGCAAGTGTGAAATTTCCTCTTTACAAGTTGTATGTAGTAGAAGGTGAGATTTCTCCACTCCCCGAATATGGTCCTAATATTCAGTTGTGATTAGTAATACCTGCCCAGAGTTTTGTTTGTAATTATTTTACTATTAGTTCATTGTTATTGTTACAGGTTCCAAAAGATCAAATCACAGTAATGCATTCTTTTATGGATTTTTTAAAAATAAGAGAATAGTTCTCTTTGACACATTGCTGAAGGATTATAAAAGTGAATCTGAAAAAGATACTTCAAAAACTGAAAAAAGTGAAGAGAAAGAAAGTGAGAAAAAAGAAAGTGAGAAAGTAGGATGTGATGATGATGAAGTTTTGGCTGTGCTTGGACATGAACTTGGTCATTGGAAGTTAAATCATGTTATCAAAACACTAGTGTGCATGCAGGTAATCAACGTTATATTCATGATTTCAACCAGCATAGCTCTGGATTTGATGGGTAGATATTTAAATGATGTATTTGTGTTTTGTATGGCAAATTTTGTGCAAACACTTTTCAATTGGGATTACAATCAGACAGTCAAAAATGTACCCTCATATGATTTGAATGAGCCCATTTTAATAAATAAATTATTAATTTTTTTTATGGTGGATGAATGTATGTAATTTATTAACGTCTTTTATTTTCCAAAAATTGTGAGAATTTTAAGTTCAGTGCGAAGATTTTAGTCTTTTGAAGGTGTTGTGAACTATTTTGAGCTTTGTAGTAAAACTAAATTGCCATTGTTTACAGGTGAACCTTTTCTTGGTTTTCTTGGTTTTTGGTTTGCTTTTCCAATTCAAGCCCATGTATGCAGCCTTTGGTTTCCGCAATGAGCAGCCGGTCATCATTGGCCTGCTGATAGTTCTGCAGTTCATTTTCTCTCCATATCATGCAGTAAGTGGATGTGTATCATTCAATCAAACACGTAATAATTCTAACAGTATGAAAAAGCTGAATCCTCTACAAGATAAAAGTAAGCAGGCCACCATTAATAACACAACAAATGCTGAAGAAACTTTTACGAATCCTTTAATAACTTCCTTTCATACTTAATGTTGGTAACTCCTCTACAAAAATTCGAGGTTGAGGATGATCATTATTTCATGAGATAACAAATTGCTGTTTGCAGATTGTGTTGTTTTTGCTCTTGAAGGCATAAAATATTGTAAGAAGTTTGTGATATGCAAAAAGGGATATGCAATTAAAGTTGATTAACTTAGTAATTGTTACTTTTGTACACTTGTCATAATAACAAATTTAAAAAAATGTGGAAGTATTTCAAGAGGTCTGTGTAAACTCTGTTCAGTGCATTGACCCATGAGCCTTTAGAATTATTTTTCTTGATTTTCATTATTTTAGACTTAGAACTTGATTATATTTATTTAATAAAATGTTTTAATATAATAAAAACAAATTTATTACATATGCGTCAGTACCCTGTACTTGTAATGGTTCTGTAGGTAAAATAATAGCAAAATAAAAAAGTATTTGTATAGATTATTTCTTCATAAAAATGAAACATAATACATATATTTGAGTTAAAATACTAATATTTATTCAAATTGGCAAGAAAATACACTCTATAGTGTATGATTATCAATGAAACAGTCTATACATAAGGCAACATCGCATTTTAAGCACCATCTTAAGGCTTCAGTGCTGCAGTTGGAGTCTGGACATTTTCTCTTCTCATTGCGGCGGCGATGGCGTAACGGTTAGCGTACTGGACTGTTGTACCCAAGTTGGCGGGTTCAAACCCGATCGAAGCCGGTGGATTTTTAAAGGGCGAAACCAAGATCCTCTTCGTACGCCTCCTTCGGAGGAAGTAAAGCCGGCTGTCCCATGTTCGTAGATTTACTTGCATGTAAACGATCCCTCAAGCCTAAAATGACACATCTGAGGCCCAAAAAAATTTCAAAAATCGCCTGTTTTCTCGCCCAAGAAATACCTCCTTTCTCCTCCTAGTTGGTGAAAAGGAGCGGTAGCGAAATTTGCGTGGTCAGACGGAGGAGCGGGCCTGATGCCCGAGTCTCGCCAACGTAAAATAAGGCGAAATTCAATTCAATCTAGAATTTTTTTAATTAAATAATCCCAGAATGTTTAAACAGTCTCTGTTTAGGCAAGGTATTTTTTGCCTGGTCCTTCTGGTGGCCAGTAAAACCCCTTTTTATATTCCCTTTTTATTATATGTTTTAAACATCTCTGTTTAGTGCAGGTTATTTTTGCCTGGTCCTTCTGGGCACATGAATTAGTAAAACCCCTTTTTATATTTTCATCATTTTCCTGTCTGTTAGGTAATTTTTCGTTGGTCTCGTAAAGTCTATATTTACAATACATTCTTTTCCCATGATATGAAGAGTGCTTCCAAACTGTTATTTAATTTTTTTACTCCCTTAATTTTTTATTTTCTCATATATGTATGTATTATATGAGGTAATACACGTAGTGCAGGTAAAGTTATGTAATGCTGCAGCAAGAACCAGCAATTTTTCAACAGAAAAACTTCTACAGATCAAAAAAAGTGGATCAATTCTGTTCCATAGGTAATAAATTAATACATATATACTACATATGTTTGTAGCAAACTCAAAAATCCTCAACTTCATTTGCATCAATCGGGGGATATCAATTTGGGAGAAAATCAGCTGAATGGTTGTACCTCAGACGGACAAAAAGATGTATTGCCCAATCGCTTTTTCAATTTCAAAACCCACAAAACATGGATTCTAGCTACTCCATGTTTTAGAGGAAGTAATTTACTATATGGAGGTTGTTTGAGAAGTAACTTGGTTCACATACTAAGAGATGATGACAGCAACAGCTGTGAATATGAATATAAAGCTTCAACAATGCAAGAGTAAAATTTCATTGTTGCAAGTCATTATCTCACCATGATTCACGTACCACTTATGTCCTGCTCGGCACTAATGAGTTGCAAATTACTTCTACATTTTGTGCTTACAGGGTATTGCAAAAGCCTTAAATCAAGAGTTGACCTGAAACTGAATAAGTTGTTATATGAATGTTAAAATTGTATAGAGATAACTTTAAATCTTTTTCGTAGTGAAAATTTGTATAATTATCATATATTCTCTTCATTTCAGATTCTGAACTTCAGTATGACAATTCTTAGCAGACATCATGAGTTCCAGGCAGACAAATTTGCCCGCGATCTGGGCAAAGCAAAATATTTGCGTAGTGCTCTGATCAAACTAAGTCGTGACAATTTGAGCTTCCCTGTGTATGACTGGCTATACTCACGTTGGCATTATTCGCATCCACCCTTGCTTGAACGACTTGCAGCTCTAGACAAGACAGACTGACGCAAGTTACAGCCTCACCGACCCCATTCTTGGTTCCCTGTCGGTGCGTACTATCTGTAACTGCATTGTAGAGAATTATCTCATTCCATAGTGGGGTCTCTGCTCAAGAACTGTTTTTCTAATTCACATTAATGTGATTTTATTCAAGATTTTTCTTAAATTGAATTTTATTTTGATTCAAGGGACCTCAAATATGTGGTGAGATGTAAATGAGGTATTGATGTATTAATACATTCCTCTTCAAACAATTTGTGCACATTTTTACAGTCCAGTTTGCTTCAAAACATATTACATTTTTCTATTATATATTTTTTTAATATCTGAATTTCATCAGGTGCTTTTAGAACAAATCAAAACATTTCTTCCAGTTTCATGTAATTCTGCAAGTTATCAAATCAAGTTATATTTGTTGTGAATATTATTGTGAAAGCTGAACATTCACAATCATTTTTTTATTCATCATTTTTATTGATGTAGCAAGTTAAAAGCAAGTCTGCAGTTTTGTTGCATTATTTTGAAAAAATATTTATAAATAATTGGATTATTTATTCTTGTCTTTAGTGTTGAAACTATTTAATTTGTGCTACATGGAAGTCAGCAATAGTTCCTGATACAGAGATTCAGTACATCAATAAATTATTGCAAAGAAAACTTCAATTTCAGGACAAATTTTTGGATGTCTAACTTGCATACAATTTTTGCAGACTTCTATTTCAGACATTGCTGATACTTTATTATTTATATTAATTGATATGAGTCAGTGCTGCGAAAAAACAGAATATAAGACATTTGTGATGTTTGTTGTACTTCATTTTAAATATAGTCAGTTCCTTGAAATGTGATGTTTTAATGGCTTTGCTTTCATGCCTGAGAATTTCCTATCCTTATCCATAATGAAATTAAATTCTGGATCATTTTCTGCTATGGATTAAAATAAATTTAGTATATATCTCTAGAATAGGTGATGGCTGTCAGCCCAAACAAGTTACTATATGCTGTAGGCAAAAGAAAATATGGGAGACCAAAAATAAGATTGAGCAACAACGTGTTCTGGGGCAGAACAGGTCATTAGGCCTTACCTTGCGGTTGAAGATTATGTATTGCTCTTATTCTTTTTCCCCCTGCAATAGAAAATAAGAATTTTGGTTGAAGAGAAAATACTTTGGTACAGAGATGGTGGTTGTTAAAAAGTAGTTTCTACAGAAGGAAACCTTGTTGGCCTTGGCATCTGCAATATGGGAAGGGGGAACCATTACACCATTTAAAATGTTGAAAGGTGCTCTATAGCCTTATGTAAAAGAACATTTTATTTCCTTAAATATGTTATAATCCTAATTCTCCCCTTTTTAACCTGCAAAATTATAAGAAATTGTATATTTGAGGAAGGTTCTTCAAACCATGTGGCCACCATATAAATGGTTTTACATAAAATCAACGTACTGTATTTATTGCATTGCTAAAGTTATAATTTCATTCTTATTGTAATGTTTTATTCATTCATGAGTTGATGTGTAATAGGCAAGTAAGAAACTTTCAATAGAAATCCTGGGACATGTGTTTCTCCAACTGCAGGGTGCATAAATGACAAATAAAAAAAACGAATGTTGTTCCCCTTCTTGTTTTAAGTTGTACATGCCTGTAGTTGTAGGGAGTTTAAAAAATTAATAATAATTGTATGGAGGAACAATGTTGTATAAATATCAACTAGGTGGTATTTGCAGGTTGCTTGTCGTAAACACACTAGTAGCAAGTTATTGTTAAGGTTTAGATGGGTGTTGGGTCTAATCTTTATCTCAATACCATATTTACCATGATTTAAAATGACCCCTTAATTTTTGAAGACGCATCCTGTGATTTATTACTTTTTTTCCTTTCTTTTATTTTAACCAATTATTGTTCAGTCAAAATAAAATAACAAATTGCATCAGAAAATTGCACTGTTGATGTTGAATCTGTTTGAGCAATCACAATTTTTTT